CCCCCCCTCTCGTTCGCACATGCTCGTGAGTTAATTAACGGTATATAAGCAGTTTGATGAAACGACTACTCGAGAGCATTGTCCCGCTACCGACAATCGCCGTCGAGATTCAGCGCGCAAGCCCGATAATGCGAGCAGCGGCTGCGGCAGCGGCAACCCCTCGGGACCAAGTCTAATGCAATGGGTGCTGCTGCTGCTTCTGCTGCTGCTGCTGATGCTGCTGCTGCTGCTGCTGCTCCTTCTCCTCCTCCTCCTCTCGATTATCACGGCATGATTTCATAACGTCAGCCTTTATAGCCGAATCAACTCGTCAATTTAGCCGAGCCCAGGCAAACTACTATAACGCTGTTCGCTCTCTCGCTGTTGGCAAGCACGGCTCCTCTGTGCGAGCCTCCGCCGGATAGTTTGCGCCTCTGCCGCAACGATTAATCGGGGCTGCCAGACGCTCGAGTCGCGGGGCCGCCGACAGACTTCTTGCTCGCCGAGTCTCGCGTTTATCCTTTTGGCTTCGCACGATCCCAGCCCCGACTCGCGCAAATTGCGATCGCGGCTGTTTTGATTATGTCGAGAGCCACGCGCGTTCTCTCGTACGCGCATTAATTATCCGGAAACACAGAGCTCCCGGCTGCCAATCAACGGCCCCAAAGCGATGCGAGACACGGCGACTCAAAGGAGCCGGCTCCCCGACAGTCGCGGTGGCATTATCCGCAATTGCAGCGCGACGCACAAGCGCAGCGGCTGATTCGTCGAGCTTGCGGATTAGCATGAGCCTTTTGGACGCGGCGACACTTTCGGCCTTTGCCACGTGCTCGCTCGACGCACGCCGTCGTCGAGGCGACCTCTCTTCCTCGACGTTAGCTCGGAATTGCTATAATTGTCGGAAATAATAATCCATCCAGCCGTCACTTTTTCTCTATTTGCCCAACAATTGACAAAGGCATTTTCATTAACTGCCTTTTAAAATGCATTTTCCCAAATAAATAAATAAAGGCCTGCCTCGCCAAAGAACTTCATTGAATCAAAAGAACCGAACAATCGCGTAAAAAAAATCGCATTCGCTTAATGAAAGCAATTTCACCGACGCATTTACACTGCGCGCGCACACGTGCACGGCACGGAATGAAAAAAACAATCACGCATCTCTCTCGCTGTCTCTCGCGAAACTCAATAATTCGGACTCGCGCTGTGGGAAAAAAGCAACTACAGGCACGGAGTTGAAAAAAAAAGCGAGCGAGCGAGCGCGCGCGCGCGCGGACGATTGATTATTTTATATTTGATTCGCCTTTCTCTCTCTTTCGCACATATATATATACGGAATCGGCGCCGTATACGATTTGCTGGCCGGGCACAAAAAGCACAAAATTAAATTTCGCTCCCTCGCGCAATACACGGGGGCTGGAAAAAGTGAGAGGAGAGGGGGTCGAAGTTAGCGTCCTCCAATGGGCGTTTAGCGGTACGTTAACCATGGAGCGCTCGAGGCCAATTTCGCTAAGCCGCTATTTACCGATGCCCTGGGCGCTGCTAAATAAACTACCATCGCGTCCAGAGGAGCGTCTACAAGTGACTGAATCCTTATCTTGGCGTTCCTTCTCTTGTCCTCCCTTTTTCTTTTAATATTGCTCGCGTGCAAGCAGATCGTAGTTGATTGTTGCGCGACGCGATTGACTTGGAAGGCGGAGCGGCTGCTTCCGAGACTGTTTGTTGGAGGTAACCAACGAACGACGTTGCAGAGCACTCGAGCGGTCCGACGAGTGGAAAAAACAGCGTAAAATATTGGCAGCAGATTGCCGATAGGAAGAGAGCAGCTTTCGAAAGCCGTAGGGTCTTGAGGAGCGCGTCGAAAAAGCAAATCAGCGGGAGGGCAAGGGCGTGCTACGGGTGGCCGGTGGCGCTTTAACTGGGATCGCAAATCGATTATAAAAGACGAGGAAGTGTCCGCGAGCAGTGGCAGTCCTTATCGGCTAATCGGATCTCCCGTCTGCAGATGGGTAACGCGCTGGCTCTGCAGCAGCACGCTGAGTGCATATGCCCTTGGCGCGCTTTTCTCCGCTCTATTTATCTCTGCTGGATACCTTTGAGCGCGCGGCGTTACCCTTTTCCTCCTTCGCCATGTGTCGCGCAATTACCGGCGCTGCTGCCAGTGTGCGCAAGCCAAACGACGCCGATCAAACAGAGCTGATAGCGAAACAACCCTGCGACTACACCCCGGCTTTCATTTCTGCTTTTTAATGCTGCGAAGGCGCGTCATCTTCATGCTGAGAATAATTCTCATTTCTCTCTCTCTCTCTCTCTCTCTCTCTCTCTCTCTCTCTCTCTCTCTCTCTCCGGAGTTAGGCTTCGCTCTTTGTGCTCGGCTCTTATTGAATTTCGATTGATTTTCGAGATTTTCTTATCGCTTTCAAAATGCACGGGCGTCGAGCGACATTCGTCGCTGACGTCGACCCTTCCAACTGAATCTCGTTAAAGCTGACGCGTATAAATCGCAGACGATCTCCGACGAACGAGAATAGAAAGGTGGTAATGGTCAAGCGCGCGGGCCGAGCCGCAAATCCTAATGATCCTAAGGGTACGCGCAGTTAACGCAAGGCTAATGACGTTTTCCGGCACACCTTGCTGCAAATTCATCCCGGAAATTGATTTCATTTCCCACACACGGTTGCGCGACTGACGACTGCGCGCGCCCGAATGGCTTGCGCGATTGAATCTCGAATTACGCCAGCTCTTGTCGGTGTGACACAACCTCGTACCCTAATTAAAAACGTGCACGCACGGCAGCAGAAAAGAAATAATATGCGAAAACGACTCGCCGCGCAACGATCGACATAAGTTATACTCGAATCACAATAAACAGTACAGAGAAAATCGGCTCGAAAGCCAAACTAAATTTACTGATTACGTTTGAAAAGTAAAGGCGCGCGCTTGGATCCATCGGAAAATCCGTCGCTGCTGCAGCCAAAGGCAAGACGGCAAGAGAGGGAGAGTACAAAAAGAATATCCCTTATGGGCGACGTGCTGCAGCAGCAGCGGCGGCGGCGGCGGCGGCGGCGGCGGCGGCGGCGGCGGCGGCGGCGGCGGCGAACTGCAGAGGCTCTGCGAAGTAGAAAATATCCAGCAATTTCACTGCGGAGCTCGCGGAGAGAGAGAAGTTTCCCGTGAAAAATTGAAGCGCGCTCGTACATACTAGAAATCAAACGAGAAAATGTAGGAGAAAAGTGGCGGTGACGAGAGGCGACGGCAGCGGTGCACGACCAAAAAGATAAAGAAAAAAAAAGAAAAAAGAAACGTAGTCGCGCATGCACGTACAGGCACGCACACCCTCGCGACGACGCTTGGCTTTTTATAAATTCGATGTGGTCTGCGCGTATAAAAGCGCGCCAACCGCAGAAGAAGCCAGCCAGCCATGTTTGCGGGCTTATAAATTGGGTTCGGCGTCGAGGATTTTTCTATTAGGCTAAAATTGGTTCTTTCAACCGGCATCGCAGCAGCAGCGGCAGCGACCTTCCCTCCCCGACATTCTCCACCTTCGCCGTGCTCTCCTTCTTTCTTCTCTCCGCTTTTCCACGCGATTCTTACGCGTCCTTGGCATTCGTTTATCTCGCTTTCCATTCTCGCTGCAACTCTATTTATTCGCTTTGCCATTCGCCCGCTTCACTCTTGGGGCTTTCGTCGTTTGCTTTCTGTGCGCTGCCGCGTGGATTATACGTTTTGTTCGCCTTCTCCTTTTATTTTTGCGCCGCTCGCGCTGCTTTTCTCTCCATCAATTTTCACTTGTTACCCGTCGCATCGAATTCTACGTTAGAATTGTCACTTTTACATCCCATTGTCTTGGCTGCTCTTTCACCGCAAACTTGCAGAAATGCAATTTCGTTTTCAACGAATAGCAGTCTCGTCGGATTGTAGTTATGAATTGAAGGGCCCGCGAATTCTCGCAAAAATCCCTTGGCAAAATTGGAAGAGCTAGTCGGGCTTTTGTCGTTAAAATGCGACGTTATATTTAGGATAAGCTTTCTGGAAAAGTCGATATTTCCGCCGAGCTCGTTATCGGTGCTCTCAAACATTCTTCTGCACAACCTCGTTCGTATCGGTAACCGAGTTACCGATCAAAGTGTCCCGGCATCTTCGCCCCCTTCCTTCGTCTTCTGCTCCCCCTCTTTTACCTTTTTCTAACCTATTGCTTGCCCTCCTTATTCTTGCGTCACTTTTCCCTGCGATATAATCGTCGAGTTTCCTCGCTCTTTCGCTTTCGTCAAATCGCGTCCGAGCTTCCATTTCCGATACCAAGCGCGCCAATCATGTTTTTCTTTCACTTTTTCGCTATATACGCTTCCGCTCTCTCATCACTTGTCATCTCTACCTTTTCGTGCCTTTGCTCTCCTCATTTCCTTATTGCTAAGTAGACCACATCTATTGAAGATGTTTAAATAACTGCAGTATAACTTTAAGTAACCATTCAAGTCGTTTAAGATTTTATTTTAGAAATCCCATCAGATACCTCTACAATCATTAAAAACTAGTTTTCAATTAGTTTCTTTCTTTTTTATTTCTTATTGAAGAAAATTAATTTTATATTTTAATCGAGAAAAGGATCGAAATTGCAAATTGCTCAACGTTAAATTATTGCAAGGATATCCGTCATTGGATCATATTCAAGATATATACCATACAAAATTTTCAATGAAACCTTGTTCCGTTTAGAATTTAAAGCAATAATAAATTATTTTTTAAATATTATTTTTAAATATCAGAAGTAAAAATTCAAATGAAAAAAGTACATTAACTAATGAAAATTATCAAAATAATTATTGACATTGTACTTGTAGAGTTAAACAAAGCGACAATTATTTTCTACTGCTCTAGAATCAAATAGGTTTTTTCATACAAAAATGTATTTCCTTTATTCAAGCCATTAACATACACTACTTATTATTAAAAAGTGAAAATTTTTAATAACTGTCGGTTAAACGTAAATTTTATTTTTGGATTAATTAAATAAAATACAAGCCACTCAGACAGCTCACCCTTCCATGCCTTCCATTCAGAGAACAGAAGGTGAACGATCATCGATGGACTGAAATTTCAGCAAAGCCGAAATCTCAAGCCGTTCTCACGCTCAGGAAGGAGAGCTACGTCTCCTCATCGTGGTTGCATCGACTCCTACTTTGGGTAGAAAGTCTGTGAAGATATACTACAGAAATGATCCTGTGAAGTATGATCTTAAGTTCGAGCTGCTTACCGTCCAGTATATGACCTCTTTACCTCGCTACTTTTCTAGAAGACGCTGTTTCTCCTTAGCCACCTAGTGAGCGCAAGCTAAGTTACACATTTTGCGCTGTAGCGGTCGACAGTCTAACGCGTGGCGATGCAGAGTGGGAAGTACCAAAGTGAAAGTGACTGACATAAGTTCTCTCTCGAGTTTGACTTACTTGTATAATCTTTACATTGAAAGGATTATGTTTGCTTTGTATGATAACATATGTATCGTTTGACGTCTTTTATATTGCGTTATAAAATATTATTCCGTAAAATCTATTGTTATTTTAGGTTATTCTATTTTCAAATTATCATCGATAAACGTATATTACTTTGGTACCTGTGAATGAATTTAAAATCGATTTTGCATTTTAAATTTCTTTATGTTTAGCTGGAATGTTAAAGAAAGTGGTTTTCACAAATTTAATTTAAAAATATAATTAAATTAACCATTGCAAATACTTTTTGTATACGTTTGCCATAAAGAAAACCATAAGAAAATTTATAAACTAGGAAAAAACCTTTCTTTATGTTTAAAAAATGTATGTATTATCGTGTAAAAACATCATTTTCATAAAAATCAATTTAGGTCTTACTGTTTTTTTTTTCTATCTAAATTATATCATCAATGTTTATTTACCTCAATTATTATTAACTTATACTTGAGCTCAGTGTAATTCAAAATTGCATAGTAAAAAAAATTCTTATTCAGTTGCGTTTGACTTTATGAAGTTTTTTCTATAAAATAATATATTCATTAAATTTTACGTTCTTCGTAAATTAAAAAAATGTTAACGCATTTAAATTTTCATTAAACAAAATGATTACTATGAGAAGTTGACCAAAGAAAAAATCATAATATAATATTAATATATAAACCTTATCTTACATGTTTTGTACAATTGAACATTTCTAAACACATGCCGTATTTAGTTGATTATATGTATGAAAAGTTGTCTTATTCATGACAACATGTTTATAAAGAAACAAACGTATGTAAAATGTATATATAATTGAACTATAAAAATTTATAGGAAAGAAGATCCCATTTTAATTTAGAACTTGCATTTTATTATCCGACAAAAAGCCAATAATGACAGTCTTGCATAATTGGTACGTTAATGAAAGTTTCACATGGATTTTATTTTACGTGTAGCTTAATTACTTTCACAGTCAAGTGACGAAAGTGTTTAACGCAAAAAAGTCATTAAGTTTAATTACTTTATTAGAAAAAATGTGGAAAAGTATGTATACGAAACCTAAAGTGATTAGACTTTTTCCGAAACAGATGAATTTCCTCTTCCGTAGATATGAATTACTCTGTAGAAAAATTTGTTTTTCGATGGGAAATACTGTGAGGTGCGCACAAGACAAATGAGAAAAGTCGCTCCCCACTAGATTTAAAAATAGCGAGAGAGGTATTACTTGACGGAAGCATAAAAAACAGTTGCGACTTGGAAAGGTTGATTTAGAAAAGCCAATCTCGGCAGACGACTGTTGAAAATCCGATCCTCTAGCCGCAAGCATCCTATGAGCGCACATATAATTAAAACCCCGTTAAAAGTCCTTTGGCGCGGGCACCCCCGCAGCACGTAGGTCGTGCCGCAAAACGAGCGCGCAACAACAGTTGCAGCCAGCATGTAGCGCTCTGCGTGTACACGTGAAAACGACGCGAAATGGGATTGATGTAATTTGGTTAAGCGGCAGGGCCGAGAGCCGTATGTAGCGGAGCGCCGAGCGCCGAGCGCCGAGGGGGTTTGATTCTAATGACTTATGAAGTCAAGCCAAATGACCAGGGCGTGTGTAGACTCTTTTGGAGTGAACCCACGGCAAATCCAATAATCGGAAACGTCGGCGACTGCGACCCTCTTTCTCGAACAATCGCTCTTTCGGCCATTAGACGCGAGAGGCACCGAGGGCGAATAAATATTGTGAAACGGGAGAGACGATAGGCAGACGGACGGCCCGGCGGCAGCGATTGACTTTTCATTGATTTTACGCCTCGGACGAGATTCCCAAAGCCTGCCCGCGCTATCGTTCGCTTTTTTTCCTTTCCCGGGTGGTCGTCCGACGAGCGCCCTTTTTTCCTCCAAGCTTGTCCAAGCTCAATTATGCTCGCCAATCGCGTCCGATCTTTCAGACCCGCGCTCGCTGCACTCGTGCGCCACGGCGGCGCGTCGCTCTCCACTATCGCCAGCTCTCTATTTATATCGCGCCAAATGATTAAGCTTTCCAAATCTGTTCGAGCGCGCGATCGCCACGCCAAAGTCGTCGGCTGAAATATAGACGTTTCAAAGTCAGAATGAAAACAAGAAATGACGGTATTCGCCCTCGACGTCAAACGGGAATTTGCGTAAACCGTGAGTAAATCAGCGAAAATTGTTTTCGCCGCATCTCGCGTTGCGAGAAAAAAAAGGACTCGTGGCGGCGCACGAAAAGAAGCCTTAACTTTTCCTTATCGAAAATAAGTCGTTAGTCGACCTTTCATCTCCGCTAAACGAGTTTTCGCCGCGCGCGCAAAACTTCTTTCTGGCCGTGGCGTTTTATTTTTTCCACCCCCGCACGGTCGCTCGACACCCCCGCCCCACCGACACCCCACTGCCGGCGAAAAACTGCCTCGCTTTAAGGGATTTTTCAATTTTCACCGCAGTCAGAACTAATTCAATCGACCGAGCCGCGGCGCTCGTTCCCGAAAATTCTCGTCCTCGCGAACGGGCTCCCGCGGCCGCCGGGTCGAGTCATTATCGCGAAAGCGTTGAGTTTTCGGGTCTGCGCGATCGACTGCCGTGGAATAGCACTGAGTTCGAGAACGATATTGGTCTCTTCGTAAACGTACGTCGGGGACGTTGATTTTCGCTAATCGAAAACGAGCGTCGTCTCGTTGGGCGACGAAGCGAGGGGCTGCCGCGATGCCCAGGCCCGAAATGGCAAAGGCGTCGTGGCCGCGCGTCTTCGAGGGGGGTGGGCCGGTCGACAATGGTTGTCGGACAGGATTGGTCGGCGGAGTACAATAGATGCTCGTCGCGCACGCGCCCCGCGCCAATCCTCTTAGCCGAGCTGACGTCTTTACGCAATTACCCGTAATTGGACCTTATCTGTTGTTCCCTCGTCTTACGGCTAACTTGCGAGAACGCGCCGAAATCTAATTAGCCGCCCGGAGAATAAGACCGGGGGCTCGGCTCGCCCCAAACATCAACTCCACTCTCGCTCGCTCGGTTATTACTTTGTTGTCGGGCGCCAATCTGACGCTCTCGAGGCGCATTTGCCTCGCCCGCGCTGCTCCTCGCCTGCGCTGCTCCTCGCCGTCGCCCGAAAGCGCCAAACGACGCCCGGCGACCCGTTCGTTTTTCACTTGACATTCGTCGGTCCGCGAGGGGTCCAGCGCTCGCAAGGCCCCTCCCTCTCGCCTGGGCGAGCTCTACATTTTCCAACCTCCGCAGCTCTTGTTTGCTCGGTCTCGCGTGCGCGGATAAGGCGCCGTCCGTGATCTTTTGACCGAATCACAATGCTCGCGCGAGCGATAATCGCGCACTCTTTCTGCACTGCGAGCGCTCCCCAGCAGATACGCATCGACACATTTTTACGGCTGTCGGCTGACGTTGCGACGAGCAGCTAGCTACCAGCGATCTACCAGCTGCTCCTATGTCGGCATCGCGGTCATTACTGTCCCAATACACAGAAGAGCGAACAAGAACAAAAAGTAGGTTATTCCATTAAGAGCCTTGATTGACCTCTCTTGAGAAATGTCTCTCGTACAAGTGAAGCTTCTAAGATGGCGCGGCCCGCGGAGGCGTAAGGTCGACATCGGCGTTTATCCAAATCGAGAAATAATTCAATGAAAGCATTTCGCCAGCTCCTTCGTCTTGATGAAGCGTCTTAACGAGGTTCTACCGAATTATCAGCAATTATCGAGCCTTCGACGTAATTGCGTTAGCCAAGCTGTGAAGTTGGAAAAGCTTCGGCGCGCGTAACGGCTAAATGCATTTTCCCACCCCGCTAACACTCATCCACTCATTTCCGCGCCGCTCATTTCGCCTTTCGAACATTTTTATCGGATGCCGTCCCCGCCATCGCCGCTGGAGCTTCGCTGCCAGTCGTAGCTTCGCTCGCTTGTTTGCTCGGATTATCCGTAATTAACGAGCCGCATGCTCGATGGTTAAACAGTTAACCATATCACCGTTTTCAGCGAATCGTTGCTGCGATAACGAAACAAGCAGCGATATCGGCCTTTTTTATTGTCATAGCGAGCAAACAGTTTTGTGAAAAATATTTCGAGCAATGAAAAACGTTATCGTCAGCAAACTTTCCTTCGCAAAGAAGAAGACGAAGAAGCAGAAGAAAAAAGTATCCTCGCTCGAAAAATTCCGAAAGCAGTTTTCCCTATTCAAGGCATCATCGAATTACAATGCACAGTAGCAAGCGTTTTTCCAAGCTAACAAGCCTCCTCTCTTTCTCGGATCGCCGCCCATTGACACGAGCGGCGACAAAAAGGAGCTGCTCGAACAAAAGGCGAGCCTCGTGAATGAGAGGACGCGAGCGCGTAAAGTTGTGTTTACACATCTCGAGGGATAAGGCCTGCAGAAAGCAAATATTGTTGAACTCTGCTTTCTGAATGCTCGCTGTGTACAAGTAGATACATAAAAGATCGGATCGAGGACTCGAGTGACACGCTACCGTCGCCTACGAGAACAGATGCGCGCCCGGTCGCACGCTCGCACGCGCCTCGCAGCTCGCGAGCGTTCTCCTGCGTCTCCGCCTCGCACTCGAGGAAACGAGGGAATTGGTGCCCGGCAAAGAGAGACAACCGCTTTCCGCTCGCTCGAACCACTTATTCTGCTCAGTTACGCGCTTTCAGAATGACGGATCGCGTTCGTGGGCGACTCGCGGCTTCGGGCTTCGAGTGCATTCCAATAAATCTCATTCCGGTAAATTTGAGGGTAAATTCGACGCTCGGTTTTTTGAGGGC